CCTTGAGACATGAACTGTGACAATTCATATTCTCTTCATTTGAAAAGCAGTCACTGCCTATTTTTGTGACTTAGGCCATGTTGATTTGATTTTATGGATGACATCCCCCGGGAACCCGAAAACTGATACGCGCGTGCGAATAAAAAAAAGTTTAGCAAAAAAAAAGTTAAAAAGGTGCTTTCATTATGAAATCTGCGTGGTCATGAAGGTTAAAAAATGACACGGAGTATGGTTTGGTGAATAATCTACTCTTTAAATTCATTTCTCTTTACATTTTCGTCTTTTTTGTTTGATTTTGGCATTTTGCGACATTTTTTAATATTCTTTTTGCAACTTACGGTTTAAATTTGCTCATTTTGCAACTGTTTTGTACGATTTACAGTATGGTTGAAAACTTTTTTTTTTGGAAACGGCCGAAAATTCATGCGCGCGCGGATGTCATCCATATAATCAAATCAACATAGCCTTACACATGACCTTACCCAGAATGTCCCACCGAGAACTCGGAGACGGTCGGATGTCACACTGTCTATACCAGAGGTCCACTGCTGCCCTGGGAATTCCGCTGGGAATTCTACCAGAGAGAATTCGGCTGTTCCGAATATCACTGAATCCGTATACAGCAACAAGGGTTGGGCCGATATCGTATTCCACGGATCACAGTTTTCTTCGCAACTGAAAGGAAGAACATTCAGTTATTGTGAGCCCACTGGTTTAGGTCTTAGTGACTCATCTGGGTGGAGTGAGGATTGTCGTGTAAAATGCCTTTCCCAAGGGCACAACGTCGGGGCGCATGTTCAGACATGTCCCGGGTACGACTCGGAATCGAACCCGGGTCTCCTCGGTTCATAGTCGATTGCTCTAACCACTACACCACCCGACGCCACTACATATAACACAGAAGGGATAAAGAAAAACGAGTTGGTGACTCGGTGGTTGTTCCTGACAAGTTAAAGTCCTGTCCGTACCACATACTCCGGTTGAACATGGTTGAACACAGTGTGTATAAATGTTGAACACAGTGTGTATAAATGTTGAACACAGTGTGTATACATGTTGAACACAGTGTGTATAAATGTTGAACACAGTGTGTATAAATGTTGAACACAGTGTGTATACATGTTGAACACAGTGTGTATAAATGTTGAACACAATGTGTATAAATGTTGAACACAGTGTGTATAAATGTTGAACACAGTGTGTATAAATGTTGAACACAGTGTGTATAAATGTTGAACACAGTGTGTATAAATGTTGAACACAGTGTGTATAAATGTTAAACACAGTGTGTATAAATGTTGAACACAGTGTGTATAAATGTTGAACACAGTGTGTATAAATGTTGAACACAGTGTGTATACATGTTGAACACAGTGTGTATAAATGTTGAACACAGTGTGTATAAATGTTGAACACAGTGTGTATAAATGTCTGATTTTTCATTTGAAACCCTCTCAAAAACGCAGGAAATACCATTTTACAAGGTTCAATTGTCAAAATCGGACCCCGCGGGAACCTCGGGCCTTCGGCGCTCTCTGGTTAACCAGACACCAGGAGACCCCCCCC